ACTCTTTGCCCCATACCGGGAATACAAGTTGAATAAAACTGACTACTCTCAAATCTATTGGAAAGCATGTGCACGGGAACAACTATAATGCAAGTTTTAAAATATGTTCCCAATGAAATGGGAGTGTTAGGAGGAGGTAGAGGAGTATGGGAAAAGATGACATTTGAGATCTGCCTTCAATAAATCTTTTCCAAATAGAACATGGAAGGAAGGTGTGGTGTTCTTTGAAAATGTCTCCTGAGAGAGAATTCATACTCTTGGAAAGATCGCTGTTGTGTTGAAGAAGAATGAGTGGGCTGGTCTATATGTTCAAGCTAATGAGTGCTTTATAACAAACAGTCCTTGTGTTCAGCACTAAATAACGGACCTGTAATGAGTGACATGACCATTAATTGGAAGAATGGCAAAGTAAGTTCAATGAGAGAATCAGATCAAGAGAACTGACATTTTATGAACAGAAATGTAATTTACTAAATGCATTTTTAAGGTGTTTTTAACTTTGACTTTTCTTTTCTTGAATGGTTTCTACAATCATGCGTGCTGTTCAATTACTAAGTCAAAATATGAACTGGAAGATTTATTTAGTATTAGATTTGTGACATCTTGTCCATATTTAATTAGCTGCCAAAAATAACACTCCAAGAATTATATATTGGCCTTCCATTTTTTCACTCACCTATGGTTTATTTTACTGGGCTAAGTGCTGTGAAAGCTTTTAAAACCTCACAAATAGTCTTTATTAGGATTTTATACCTTACAATACTGAGCATAGAAATGACTATAGACAGTTAAATTCCAGAGAGGAGACAAACATAGGGTTCATACACAGCAAAATAATAGTTTATTTTTATTGAAATATAATTTATTTTATTTTATAGTCTCGTGTTCTGAGATTTGAGTTGCTCCTATAACTCAGTGCATAGAGCATTCTAATTGTTGTGTTTAAGGTAATTATTATGCCTAATCTCACCAGGATGCAGTGTGTACACACTTATCTATGTTTGCATAGCAAATGTAACAAAAATTTCAGATGTCGGTGTTTGATTTTTAATAAAGTAAATAATGTGATACCAAAAACAAAATCCCAGAGAAGAAAGACGGTTCAGAAATGCCATTAATAAGTAATTAGATGGCTTCTCACCTGGGTCATTCCAAGCATGAAGGCAAAGGGGCTGAGAAAACCCAATATCCACTCCAAGGATGCAGGAAGATGCCTGTACAAGACCGTGAATCCTAGACTCCCCCAAAAGACAGTGAGAAGGGACACGACCAGGCCAGTGAGGAATCGTTTCTTTATCAAGACGCTCATTAGAAAAGCCAAAGCTATCTACAGGGAGAGAAGACTAGGTTGGTTTATGTTTCTCTATAAATTATTCCTAACAGAATAACATAAGAAATTGAATATATAAAACTAGCATTATATTAATAATATATGTATAAAATATAAAAAGGTGATCTGAAATTTGCACAAACTGGCATTACAGGTCAAATACCAGTCTACAGACTTTCCTATGCAAACAGAGCAGGCAGGGAAGAAAAGGGTTAGGTAGAACAACAACCTATTTGAAAACCAACACTTAATCTTGTCAGATGGGAAAAAGTGTAATTCACCAACTCACCAAAGACAATCCATAGAGGAAAAAGAGAGTGAAGACCACCATGAAGCCAGTCCAAATGACAAATTTGATAGATTTTATAATAAGCACCAATAAAAGGGAAGCGATGAAGATGAAACCAGCATAGAGCAAACCCCAGGAGAGCCTAATGTGGAAACAAAATGTTATTTTAGTATTTCATGTTACATTGGAAAGGATCTACGGTGGATTCAAACATACCTGGAAGAGCTCAACTTGTGACATTTTAAATTCCAATTACCCAGCCCCTATATACCATCCTGTTCTGCCAGTTTGCTCCCTCAAGTATATCCATCATACCTGATCTCCAAAAGGGCTTCTGATCCCTGACCTCTTTTTTTCCCCTTTCAGCCTCACCCTGGCTTGCGTTCCCCTTCTGGCCTAGGCATTGTCGTTTATCACTTCTACCACACTCTTTCCTGTAGACTCAGTGGCCATCCCCCAGGACCCCTGCTTTGCAATCTCCCCAAAAACCCAAACCTGATATTCTCTCTTCTAGATGCATAGTAACCCCTAGCCTCAACCTCACAAGCATTCCACTAAGGACAATGTATCCCATTCATAGGAAAAAAGGTAGAAAGTCATTACATTTGCATAATGAAGTCCACTTTCCCTAAACTCCTACCTTTATTTATTGGTACACTTGACTCACCAGAATGCTGAATGTCGAAGACCCATCATTGTCATCAAACCCTTCATCCTTTTCCTCTCTCTTGTAACATTAACAGAGACATAATAAATGAATGGGGAAAAGGAAATAAGGAAGAAGAAAAGGTAGATATCCATGAATATCCCTTTTTGACTCACGAAGGGATGAATCTTCATATTTTTTCCAGTAACTGACATCAATTCCTCCATCACCGAGTGATTTGTTGTGATCTGAAGAAAGACAGTGACTTGTATATTCATGGATGACAGGCTCCGTTTTCTTTCAATCATCTCTTTTACTATGAACACGTAATGGGTCTGTGTGGAGCTGATGCTAGCCCAACTTTTCACTTCCCTGTTCTGCCACTGGCCTGCTTGGAGCCTCCACTCTAGGCATCCCGAGCTGCACACAGTTCCCCAAATTTGATATGTGCTTTATCGCCTCCCTGCCTAACCTTGCCTGATGTTTTGCTTGCAATGTCTTTATGACATTATCTATTCAGCAAACCTCTTCCCTCAAGCTTCAGGGTGAAATGTCCTGTCAATGAGGCATTCTGCCATGGCGTCCTAGGCCCAGAAGCTTGTGCTCATTCACCTGGAAGGACTTTATGAACACCTCCATGACAGCCTACTTCTCCTCTTCCAAGAATTTAATTCTAGGCCTGGCTTCCTGAGAAGGTGTCTTTTCTGCGGAGAAAATTTCTCTTCTATTTATATATATCTTCTGTGGCACGTGGCAACTTAAGTAAACTTTGTTGTAAGGAAACCAGTGAGTAAATGAAAGAACAAGGCTATTGATTTATATTTTCTTTGATGAAACTTTAAAAAAACTTGATTTGAGAGAGAGGAAGGCAGAAGGAGAGAGAGAGAGAAACATCGATTGGTTGCCTCCTGTACATTCCAACCAGGCATGGAACCTGCAACCTAGGTATGTGCCCCAACCAGAATTGATCCTGTGACCTTTTTGGTGCACAGGATGACACTCCAACCGACTGAGCCACATGGACCAGAGCTGATGAAACTTTTGATGCTTCTAATACCACTAATCTGCATTGAACACTAGTTTGCATTGGACATTTTTGTACTCACTTCTATAATAGCAGCATTAATGGCAGCTTGAAGAGCCACAAAGCCTTTCTTCCAGGATGTTGTAACTCCACAGTCAATATCTTCCCAATATATTTTATAACAATGAGCTTTAAGGGAAAAATGTATAACTGTTTTAAGAAATTATTTTCTATCCCACAGTTATAAAGACATTGCCCAATACTGACTTCTGAAAAGTTTAGAGGCATATTTTTTTCTCATTTAATTTTTCATCAGGAATTGTCATTTCACAAGAAATAATTTCATTTTGTTTTTTATGGAAAGACAATTTTCCTGACTGACCCGCAATGTCTTCCATGGCTCTCTCTTCTGCTTCACTGATCTATCTGTCTATTACTATGGTAGCAGCACAGTCTTAATTACTTGTAACTTCATTCTTTTCTAAAGAGCATCTTGGCTATTCTGTGCCCCTTTTAGAGGTATATTTTAGAATAAATATATCAATTTATATTTAAACATCTGTTATGATTTTGTTGAAATACAATAGGTTCCTGAAGAAATCTGGGCAGAATTCATATCTGCAATAAATAAATTATAAACATGTAATATATGTATACACGCATATATATCTAGACACGAAATTCGTGCACGGGGGAGGGTGTGTTCCTCAGCCTGGTCTGCACCCTCTCCAATTTGGGACCCCTCGAAGGATGTCCTACTGCCAGTTTACAGGGATCGGGCCTAAACCAGCAGTCGGACAGCCCTCTCGCAATCCGGGACTCCTGGCTCCTAACCGCTCACCTGCCTGCCTGCCTGCCTGATTGCCTCTAACCACTCTGCCTGCCGGCCTGCTCGCCCCCCAACTG